AAAAAATATTTAAAAAACGTGTTTAGAAGCATATTGGTTAGTTTGCGGGGAATGGCCATTAGTCATAGTTCCACAATCATGTGTTTGACCCAGGCTTTCTTCAGTATTCCCTGTCAATGCCATTAATCTTGTAGACATCCTGCTTAGAAAGGCAACAAGATAAGATAAGATTTTCAGAAACAAATTACATTATATTTTATTATCACTAGTAAATGTCTGAAGTAACTAATGGAATACAATGTTTTGATGCCAAAGACTGTTAAATTAAATTTCTTTTTTTGCACCCAGTTCTCTATATATGTCAAGTATATACTTCCATACATGTGCTAAACCTCTTATTCACAGTATATTACATTATTTATAATATAATTTCATTATATTACGAAAATTTAAATGTACAAAGTCGATTGGCATAAATGAATGAATAAAATAAAAATAAAATAAGATAAGATAAAAATATTCTACATTACACTTAGGTAATAGGCCATTATAATAGCCTATTTTATCCACTTGTAAAGTAAATAACTATTATTTTGAAATTCAATTATTTTTAGGTATTGTTGGAGATGAGTCCTGGTTTACCTATTGAAAAGCATGTGCTGAGTGCAGAACAACTACGTGAACATAGTGAAGAAGTGCATTGTTGGTCACCAGCAGATCTCATGGAGGCTGTGTTGAGACCTCAGCGTCTTGACAGTACTCTCCTCAACCCTGTGACAGAGCATAAGGAGACACTGTTGGACCTTGTGGGATTTGGTGCACCTGAGGTAGATAAATTTAAGTTTTTTAAAATTTAATTTTATAATTTTTTATACTTAGTTAATTGTGGCAACCTTTCTGAAGCAAATGCTTACTGCTTAAATCTGGTGAAATATGTTTTTTTTTCATTTAGGCCATCCACTGCATTATCTAGTATCCTATACTGTATTTTTTATCATATCTCAAACATTCTGTTTGTTGCCCCTCATTGGGAGTGCCCTTAGACACATTTTCCATATATTGTAATTTTATTCGAGCCTTAGGTTGTGCTTGATATTGAGAAGCATCCGCACCCTTTTTGATTAAGATAACAATCTATTCAATTTATTAAGGCCTTCAAAAGATCTGAATATTATTTCTTTGCAAAAATTTCTTGATTTACAATTCACAACGTTTTTAGCATCACTTACAGTTCATTGCCATGCAGCATGCGATGCCATTGTCAAAACAGAATTCTATTGCATGAAGTGTTTAAGAGTCCTCCAGGAATCTTCTCTTTTTGTTTCTTGAAGTCTGATAAATATAATAGCCCAAAAAATGAAAGAATGAAACTATTTAATTCTAAATGCCTAAACCTAACGACATTAAGACAACACAAACTATTTACTCATTGTCTTGTTGGACATTTCTACTTCGACTTCTTATCCATATTGTCTAAACATTCTATTTCCAGAATAATGGCATCAATTGGAACCACTTCCTAACAAAAATTAAATGAAATTAAAACTGAAATTGGACTTCAAGTCTCCCGTTAATTATTCAACCTCTCATCGAACAAAATCCTAAGTTCTCTCTCATTCATGCCCACAAACTGCATTAATATATGCAGTGGTGAATTTTAGGCATGGGCACTGCAAGCACTGGACTCTGGGTGGCAATTGGTTTTCATCCAAAAGTTCTTTTGTCCGAAAAATTGTTTATCGACAGGGATTACAATTGCCCATGTTGATTTAACAAGAGCTCTTGCACTCGGATAGCAGGGAACAATGAACAATGAACAATGTCATGGATTTGTAAATTCTATTTTTTTTTAAAGTATAACTGATGGCATGTCAAAGCGTATTTTGTTTTGTTATATAAACATGCCTATTAAATTGCCATAATTGCAGTAAATAATACTACATTCACTATTCAACTCAATTGATCAAAAAGTGCAACATTTATTTAATAATTACAAATAATTAACCTGCAATCATTTCAAAGTCAATATGTTATTATATTAATTTAGGTAACTTAGGTTGCAAGTTTACCCAAAGAAATGAAGCTTGCAAGATCAGTGGCAAGTTCTTCATAATTTTAGAACTTAAAATTTGAATGCAGGTTTTGAACAAGAAAAAACAAACTTGTTACGAAACATCTATGTCATGAATTTAGAAGGTACATTGGGAATGAAATGTTACAGTTCCAAGCAATTGCTCTGAAAAAAATATTGCAAATTTGTCTCTGTGAAAAACTACCTTAGATCAAAAATGTCTGAAGGTTGATTAAATACGCTAGCATTGTTGGCAATAGAATCCAAAATTTTAAAATCAATAAACTGTGATGACCTCATTGCCCAATTCACTGTCTGATCAGCAAGATGCATGAGATTTTAGTTTATTTTGTCTGTTATTCCTTTTATTTTAAAACTAGTAGGGCTTAAACAGCACATATTTCCTTGCCTTTAGAAATAGTTCTGTAAAATACTATTTATACCACAATTTCTCTCAGAATTAACAGATCTCGGTAATCATTTTTTGTAAATCTCATTACAAATCATAGAATGTTGAGCGCGAAAACTAAATATTTTCAAGCAAATATCAACACAAATTTGACATTTATAGACTTTTTTTATACAGATAAATCATTTCCCAACAATATGACTTAATTCACAGGAATTAGCTTCCGAGTCCTTGTGGTCAAGCCATTGTTGCATTCCAATCTGATATTCCTTGAAAGTTAGCAATTTTTATTTCATATATTTGAAATAGGTTTTAAATAATTTCTAAAATATTAATTTGTAAATGTATAACAAAAGATCGAATGCAAAAAACAAAGAAATATGAAATAATATACAAATTGTAACTTAAGAAGCATCCAACTGCCTGGAATTACGTTCACACAGCGCAGTGTATTAGGAGAGGCCGACTAAATTTTTTGCTATATTACCCAAAAAATACTCATATTTACAAAAAAATTATCATAACTTATTTTTGAAGATTGATGAACACATTTTATTAAGAAGAAAATTTATCTTCACAATTGTAGTTATTAGCAAATTAAGACACCATAATATAATAGACACAGGCAAATATTTGATTTTTTTTTAATTTTTGAGAACTCTGGCATTTCAATGAACATGAGACCTACACCATTCTCTCTAGCTTCCTTTACGCCATCTATTTTACGCCCAAATTTAATAAAAAAAATTTTTTGTCATTGTTAAGAAAAATATGTTTTTTCAAGAAAATAAAAATTGCCTATGTTTGGCACAAAATTTCGAAAAAATACTCATGGTTTTGAAAAATTTGCTTTGACATTATTTGTAATCTGTGCTCGAGCAGCACCCTAACAAAGGGGCCGCGCACGCTCTCTCCTTCCCCTACACATACACACACCACACAAACACATACTTACATGCACTACATTGCCACACATGCCAGGAGACCAGTCTGGAGTTGGGAGCGTGTCCCGGCCGGACGGGAAACCACACGCAAGCCGATGTGTAGGTCGACACCAGATCTCACTATCCGGCTGTAGAGGAACAGCACTTCCCCCGGGATCAAACATTCACTTCTCTAACGGGACTAATGACCACTGCCGTGCCCGACTAACGTTTTTCCTGTCCATGGCTCAAATGTGAAGGAGGAGTTGAAGTCGCTGCTGTGCTGCAAGTGCTTTCACCTCGCGGCTTCTCGCTCCCACGCTTTCGTGCGTCGCCGGCCTGCGGCAACCGCCTGCGGCAACCGCCGAGTCGCACGAGTTGCTCCGCGCGGGGCGAGCGGTGCCAGCGCTCGTCGCCGTTCACGCCCCGCGCGCCCCGCCACCTCCACGTCCATGCGCTCCGTTGTCACGGAAAAAAGACGATTAGAAATAATGTTGAAATATCCCTTGCCCTGTATTTCAAAAGTAACGTTTTCACGCGTTTTGTACTTACCTCTTTCACTCCTTACCTTCATACATGAAATAATCAGCACAGTATTTTGCATCTGATCAGGTACCAAAACAAAAAGTGCTTATCTTGACTTCACAATACATTATTGATTCTGTAGTTGTGTGATTGATGAAAATAGGTGAAATTCTGATTCATTAATTTTTATAAATGTAAAGAATTTTAAAGTTCAACTTAAATATTACAGTTGTATCTGTTGCAATAAAAGCAATACATCTTGTGCATTATTTATAGAATTTTGTGACCGATAATTCTTTTTTAGTCATGTAATAACTGGCAAGTTTCTAATACAATACCTATACTTTTTTCTGTTGGCAGGTGCGCGACCTGGTCCTTACAGGAGATGAACTTCCAGTATCTGCCCTTTCTACAGTTTGTCGCCAGCAGTTGTGTCGCTTGCTAGATCCGCCGGATCCCCTTGGCAAGGACTGGTGCTTGCTTGCTGTGAAACTGGGCCTTGATGATAAGATTGCCACACTTGATTTAGAAAACAACTTATCCATGAGCCGGACTGCACGTCTTTTGGATGAATGGGCCAAAGATAGGACAACAGGAATTGGTAAAAATGTTATTTCACCACGTTTCGAGAATGTAGTTGTGAAGCCAGAGTGTGAATCAAATTTTTGACAGAACTTAAATCACTTGCACACTTAAATTATTCTAATCTTTCATATAATTTTGCTTTAGAGTAGTTTTCATAATGCACAATTATTGTGAAATGCAAAAGGAAAGTGTTAATGAAACCTCAGAATAATATTTTCTTTATTTTCATCTCATGGAAATTCTGAGTCTTCTATCAATTCTTCTGAGTTAATATAAAGAATTGATGTGATCAAAAATGAAGGTAATATTTTGTATCCCTATTTGATATAAAGTTCAGTGCACTTTTAAACTGTTCTTAAGATGAGAAGGTTGATACCAGGTGTCCAGATGGTTTGGCTGTTTTCCCAAATTTCTGTGAAAAAATATTGTGAATTATTAGAATTTAACCCTTTAAAATATCAACAAAAAAATGCTGCAAATGGCTATACATAGTAGCACCCTTTTTTAAAACCTTATCAGTATTGTTGCAAATATTAAGTTCTGTGCTGTATTGGTTACTAAAGTTATTTAATTATGTGAATTACAAGCTTCTGCATGACGGTTCTTTTACATAATAAATATAACTGTTACAGGGTTACTTATTAAAGGTCTTCAGGATTTGGGCCGAGAAGATGCTTGCCAGATACTTCTTCGTAGTGCTCCTCTTTACCGCATAGTGCCATCTACTGTTCCACAGAACTCACCTGTGGATGGATCTCATAATTCGTGTTCAAATTTGTCCCGATGAAGGAATAAAATACAAGAATCAGTTGCAGATTTACAATATTACATTTATTCATCATACTTTTTGATGGTTAAAGAAGAGCTTGAGGGTATTTGAATTACCCATATTTTCTCTTTCTCAAGTCCTAGGAGAAGGTAATTGATACTGTGGTGCGTTGCAAACAGGTTAGGAAAGATTGAGAAAAGAAAAGAAATGTTTCATTTTCTCTCATACTGATGTATGCAATAGAAAATATGCAATAGTGATTTATATCTTTTGACCTTCTCAGTAGCAACAGATAGTATTTATTATTCTCAGGATGTGCATGACTTTTTAAAGTGTGATTCTTGTGACTTAGAAGCAGTAGACTGCTCCATTGTTGATACTTAAGCATTTTAAATGCAGTGGCCTATACAGTGTTAAAATTAGAAGTAATTAAAAATATAAAATAACGTACCTATATTAGATTATAAACTAGAGATTTTGTTTAGATGTGTCAATTTCTCTTGAATGAAATTCTGTACAACGAAATGACACCAGGGTTTTATGAAAACTCAATTCTGTTAATGATGCTGAGATTATTTGTCTATATTTATACTTTTTAAAGCTGTAGTCAGTTTGGTAGGGAAAGATTACAGTGCAAAACTTCTTGGAGCCCAAATACTTGATTCTCTGCCAATTATTTTCCACATATCCTCCTCAGATTCTGTCTTCCAAACTAATAACAACTTCACAGATTTTTTTGAAGCAGTTTCCTTAGGAATTGGAAACAACGAATGCCTGTTGGATAGTTGCCTGAATTGGATGAATGAATCCAGGAAATAATTTGGAAAAATAGTTTGAGAAGACAGTTATCCTTTATAAGTGAATAAAAAATGTAAAATCATAAACTTAATATTGTACATACACTATTTTTAGATATTGAACTGCATTGAAGTATCAAATTACTGTATGAATTGTATTTTCATGAAGCATAAGTAGCTAATACTGGGAAAAACAAAAGTCTTGTAATACTTACTTTACTGTCCTATATCTGTTCAAAGACTTGCTGAAGTGTCAGCTCTGTTGGAGGTAATCTGTTTAATCATTGCCAAAAGTCCAGCTGGGGCTTTATGTTTTGTGGTGTTTCCAATAGACTTACTTTATCTGAAATTTTCAAATATTTGAGGTGACATGCACACAAGGAGCTTCTAGCAGTGTGAACAATCATGTCACTACTCATCAAATGGGAAGAAAGGATATTTGGATGTGTGAATTTCTGTAGCTACTGGGAAGTGCTCAGTTGCATGTTCTACACTCCATAGGAGTAATAACTACATATGTGATGTACTGAGATACTGAATGTCTAAATGTGGGCTGAAAGCTGTACATTTTGTTATACCATTTTTTGACTGAAAAATGAGTTAGCACTTGTATTTTCCTAAGATAGTGCCAAAGGTAATGAAAAATGTTTTAATTAATCTATACTCTTAGAATATATTACTTTCCTATTCAGAACAGCTGAGCTGTTTGTTTATGGAAGTGTTTATATGCAATTAGACTAATGTATGGTTTAGGTAATAGATGTAATGTAATATTTCAGTGTTTTGTGTCATTAGGAATCATAATATTTATTTCACACAGTGTTGATCACTAAATATTATAAGGCAAAGTTTATCACTACCTTCTAAAACTGGAGACTAATTGTTTCCTTCAAACTAAATATTTCATATTCCTAACCTTGAATCAATATCCTAATCTACAAAGAGCACGCCTTTCCGTCCGGTAAACAAGGGAACTGAAGTTGGGGAAGACGTTCAAGTAGACTGACTTAAAGCTGTGGTCTTTCCACTCCTTAACTTTCCAAAATTCAGAATGTTGTATTGGCTTTTGATAACTATGTAATTTGTACAGGGTTTTTTACCATAAAAGGTATGTCAGTATTTCTTGACACACTAGTCAAGTACAAGTATTACAAAATTTACAAATTCCTCTATTTCTGATCATTAAATAATATTAAACATTTTCTTTATCATTCTTCCTCAGCTTTAAGAAATAAACAATCTAAATGTGTTTATATCCAGTACCTATTTGCATATACTTACATTATTGTCAATCATGCTCCTGAGTGTGAAACTTGTATGCACCTTGCACTATGGCCATGTATTGCATGCATTGTTTTTGAGAAAATAAGACTTATTTATCCCATTCTGGTTTTACAACACCAATGCTTGTGCCACACTATTTTCTGGTAACTGTTTTCATGTGATAACTGAGTGATCTTTTATACTCACGAGATGCATTCCAATTTTGAGGTTTTTCTTGCTGAGCACTGTAATGTCTGCAAAATGTTATTTTATTACATGTATAAAAATTATCCTACATATCTGTGTATCAAGAGTTGAAATTTGAGTGATTATTTATGAGAATTTAAAGAAAAATGTCCATTGATTCTTGAGAAAGCTTTAATTGTGTTGATACTGTGTGATGAATTGTGTGCTATTTGTATATATTTATTGATAGTTTGTAAACATTTTTGTGTTGGTTAATATTTGTACTTAACATAACGAGGTATTTTTCTGAGATCTTACGTTGCCATGAGCTGTCTATGAAACTCATTTATAGTTTGTAAAGTGAATTTCTTGAGCAAACCTTTTTCTCTTTTTGAATAATTCTGTTTAATGTCCCAGAAGTTTGAGAAAATGTACATACAATGTTAATTGATAAACTATTGCTCATTATGTGGCTTTAACCTGCTGTGTAGTGTCACATTCCATCCAAAATAACATGACAAGGTACTTAATTTTTTATTTTATCTTTGAAAGATTTTCTAGTCACTTGGACTTTTGCTGATGAACTGATTCTTGCAGAAAATATTCTTACATGGTAATGGTTAGAATTATTTGACATTTGTTTTTGTACAAACTTTGTAAGTGCATGTTTTCATAAGGTTCTATTTACACTTGTTAAATTTTAGTGTGTATATGTAAGGTCTGTACAACGTTGAAATACTTTTGCAAATGCAAGCAACTTTTCAAGTTTAATTTTTGTGAACTTGTTCACTGTACTTACTTTATTTCCTTGATGAAATAAAATTATGTTTGTAATTATAGCCAGACTATACAGCAAATTTATTCTCATATCCATATGTCATATCTATATCTACCTGAGTGAAATCTGTATGGTATTCATGGGTGGGTTGGCACAAATCCTATTCCTAAAATGCGGAAATCTTGCTCAAGTTGGCAATATTCTTTCATTAGTAACTTCCGTAAAGCTTCTTTCCTTTCCTGCATAATTCCATAAAGTCTTGTTAGTTGAAAAAAAAAATGAACATGTCTTTGAAAATTGAACACATGTACATGAACTTACTTGAAGGCAAGGTTTGTATGGTGAGAGTAATTTGTATCTTGGTTTGTGTGGCCCTGGGTATCTATAATACCATTGCCTTATATTTAAATCAGGATAATCTGGTCAAAATACGTAATTATAAAGCCAAAGTAAGTTAAATATTAAAAATAAATTAATTGAAGAAACAATCATACTTACATAAATCTTCATTACATATAAGTGTTTTAGGTGTTATTTCAAGAGACATTGCACTTCAGAATATATTCAGAGTAAAAAATCACAATAAATTCAATTGTAAAGAAAAATATCTGAAACAGGTTTATGAATAAGAAACATCAATTCTTCCAAGTTAATAAAAATTGTTAATGTAATTGCTTGTAAATAAACTGTTGTCATGGGATACAACTAAATGAAGTATACTGTTGTGTACTTCTATACACAATAGTACACAAAGAAAATAAGACTATTGTAGAAATATTATGACATTGACACAAAACCTCAAACTATAGCTGGTTAGACAAAGCCCTCCCCAGGGGTGCGCAAAACATACTGATGAAAAATTGAAGAATTTTGCAGATTATAGAATCAAAACAGCGGGTACTTATGCAAGCCGCAGTACAAGTTTTTTGACGCAAAACGTTACGGTCGTGCATAACTTGGAAACAATGCATCCTAAGCTCCTTAAAAACTCCCCTTTTCGTCTAGATCGATTCCGTTTAAGACAGGATTTACTGTGTTTCAAAAGATCCTTTTGTCCAGATCGATTCAGGCTTAGATTGTACTGTATTTAAAAACTTTCTTTTCGACTTAATCGATTCCGGCTTAGACAGATTTTAAAAAAGGTTAAAAATTTTCCTTTTCGTCCAGATCGATAACGACTTAGATTTTACTGTATTTAAAAACTTACTTTTCGACCAGATCGAATCCGGCTAGTGTGTTTGAAAACTCCCGTTTCGTCTAGATCGATTCCGTTTAAGTCAAGTTTTACTGAGATTAAAAACTTCCATTTCGTCCAGATCGATTCCGACTTAGGCAGGGTTTACTCTGTTTAAAAACTCCCTTTTCGTCTAGATCGATTAGGGTTAAGACAGGTTTACTGCGTTTGAAAACTCCTATTTCGTCTAGAACGAGTCAGGTTTATACAGGTTTTCTCGATAGGTTTTCACAAATTTTCGAATTTTTATAATTTTTGAATTTTAATATTTTTCAATTTTTTATATTTTTGGGTTTGGTATATTTTTTGACTTTTAAATTATTGTTTTTTCTAATATTTAAATTTTAGTTTATTCCACGTTTTTGTGTCTGGACTCTTGTCCTTCTTTGGTCTTTGATCGATTCGCCTTTCGCCTTTCATCTTTCGTCTTTCGTCGTTCGTCCTTTATCCATCGTCGTTCGTCGCTCGTTGTCAGTCGCTCGACGCTCTATGGTCGTCGTTCGTTGTTTGTCGCACGTCTATCGTCGTTCTTCGGGCGATTATATTATTCAAATTTTTATATTTTAAAATTTTAATATTTTTCGAATTTATATATTTTTCGATATTATATATTTTTTGATTTTTAAAATTTATCGAATTTTTATATTTTTCGATTATTTTTATTTTTTTCACTTTTTTATGTTTTTGATTTTTTTATGTTTCGATTTTTTATATCTTTGGTTTTTTATATTTTTGGAATTTTATATTTTTTGATTTTTTATATTATTGGTTTTCTTTAATATATAAATTTTTGTTCATTCCACTTTTTGTGTCTATGGTCTCTTGTCGTACGTCTCGTGTTCCGTTAATCGTCATTGGCATTTCATCTTTCGTCGCTTGTTCGTCGTTCGTCCTTTGTCCTTTGTCCTTCGTCGTTCGTCGTTTGTAGCGCTTCGCTCGTTTTATTTAAGGCGCCGTCCGTCGTTCGTCTCTCGTTGCTCGTCGCTCGTTGCTCGTCGTTCGTCATTCGTCTTTCTTCGAGAAATTTTAATTATTATTTTTAATATTTTTATTTTTCAAAAAATTCCATTTTTTTATTTTCTGATTTTTTATATTTTTTATTTTTGAATTTTTTATATTTTCCGATTTTTTTATATTTTTCAAATTTTTTTATTTTTCGATTTTTTATATTATTGGTTTATTATAATATATAAATTTTTGTTTATTCCACTTTTTGTATCTGTGGTCTCTTGTCGTACGTCTCTCGTGTTTCGTTAATCGTCATTCGCCTTTCATCTTCCGTCCTTTGTCCTTCATCGTTCGTCGTTCGTAGCTCGTCGCTCGTCGCTCGTTGCCTTTCAGGCGCCGTCCGTTACTCGTTGCTTGTTGCTCGGCGCTCGTCATTCGTTTTTTTGAGAAATTTTATTTTTTATATTTTTTCATTTATTAAATTTTTCAAATTTTTAAATTTTTCGATTTTGTATATTTTTCGATTTTTTATATTTTTGGAATTTTTATATTATTTTGATTTTTGATATTATTGGTTTTCTCTAATATATAAATTTTGTTCATTCCACTTTTCGTGTCTGTGGTCTCTTGTTGTAGGTCTCTCGTGTTCGTTAATCGTCATTCGCCTTTCATCATTCGTCGCTTGTCGTTCGTCGTTCGTCCTGTGTCCTTCGTCGTACGTCGTTTGTAGATCGTCGCTCTTTGCATTCCGATTATTTTTATTTTTTGATTTGTATATTTTTTGATTTTTTATATTTTTGGATTTTAATATTTTTTCGATTTTTTATAATTTTGGATTGTTATATTTTTGGATTGTTAATATTTTCGATTTTAATATTTTTCGATTTTTATATTTTTTGTATTATTGGTTTTCTCTATTATATAAAGTTTTGTTCATTCCACTTTTTGTGTCTGTGCTCTTTTGTAGTACGTCTCGTGTTCTGTTAATCGTCATTGGCCTTGCATCTTTCGTCGCTTGTCGTTTGTCGTTCGTCCTTTGTCCTTCGTCTTACTTCCTTTGTAGCTCTTCGCTCGTTTTATTTCAGGCGCCGTCCGTCGTTGGTCTCTCGTTGCTCGTCGCTCGATACTCGTCGTTCGTTATTTGTCTTTTTTCGCGATATTTCAATTTTAATTTTTTAATTTTTCTATTTTTAAACAATTTCGAATTTTTATATTTTTCGATTTTTATGATTACCGATTTCTTATATTTTTCGTTTTTTTATATTTTTTGATTTTTGTATTCTCGATTTTTTATATTTTTTGAGTATTATATTTTTTGATTTTTGTTATTATTGGTTTTCTCTATTATATAAATTTTTGTTCATTCTACGTTTTGTGTCTGTGTTATTTTCTGGAACGTCTCGTGTTCCGTTAATCGTCATTGGCCAGTGATCTTTCGTCTTTTGTCGTACGTCGTTCGTCATTTTTTACTTCGTCGTTCGTCGTTTGTAGCTCTTCGCTCGTTTTATTTTAGGCACCGCCCGTCGTTCGTCTCTGGTTGAACGTCGCTCGTTGCTCGTCGTTCGTCATTCGTCTTTCTTCGAGGAATTTTAATTTTTTAATTTTTCAAAATTTCAAATTTTTCTATATATCGATTTTTTATATTTTTTGATTTTTTATATTTTTTTACTTTTATGTTTCGATTTTCAAATTTGTTTATTTTTTATATTTTTCGATTTTTTTATATTTTTGATTTTTTATATTGTTATATTTTTTGATTTTTGGTATTATTGGTTTTCTCTATTAAATATCTATTTGTTCATTCCACTTTTTGTGTCTGTGTTCTTTTGTAGTACGTTCCGTGTTCCGTAAATCATCATTGGCCTTTCATTTTTCGTCGCTTGTCGTTCGTCATTTGTCTTTTGTCCTTCGTCGTTCGTCGTTTGTAGCTTTTCGCTAGTTTTATTTCAGGCGCCGCCCGTCGTTCGTCTCTCGTTGCTCGTCGCTCGTCGCTCGTTGCTCGTCGTTCGTCATTCGTCTTTCTTCGAGAAAATTTAATTTATATTTTTAATTTTTTTATTTTTCAAAAAGTTCAAATTTTTCTATTTTCAATTTTTTTATATATTGATTTTTTATATTTTCGATTTTTTATATTTTTCGATTTTTATATTTTTCGATTTTTTAAATTTTTTAATTTTTGATTTTCGATTTTTATATTTTTCGATTTTTTATGTTTTTTGATTTTTTATATTTTTCAATTATTATATTTTTTGAATATTTATATTTTTCGATTTTTATGTTTTTCTATTTTTTATATTTTTTTTCTATTTTTTATATTTACGGGTTTTTATATTTTTTCATTTTTTATATTTTTGGTTTTTTCTAATATATACATTTTTG